GGCAGGTTGGTGTCTGGCAGCCGCTCAGGCTGTGCCGCCGGTGTCTGGGGATGGGGGGGAGGAAGGCTTACCTGCTGCTACTGCTGCTGCTTCCTCCTGCTCTGCGTGGAGCTCTTCTCCCCACCCCCGCGAGTATCACGGGTCCCCTTTCTTGTCTATATATCTAATAGCGGAGGCGCCCCCTGTGTGCGGATATCTAAATCTGCACATAGGGGGCACCTGGGGGGCAGGGAGATTTTCCTGCACACTTGGGGCAGTCCCCAGGTGTGCACAAAAATCTAAAAAGTTGAAAAAAATATAGGGGGGATATTTATGCGTGGGATAGAGCAGGTCGAGAAAGAAGTCCTTTTCTCCCTTTCTCACAAGACAAGAACTCGTGGGCACTCAATGAAATTGCTGACCAGTCGGGTTAGAATGGATAAAAGGAAGTCCTTCACCCAAAGAGTGATTAGCACATGGAATTCACTGCCACAGGAGGTGGTGGTGGCTACAAGCATGGACGGCTTCCAGAGTGAAATAGATAAGCATATGGAGCAGAGGTCCATCAGAGGCTGTTAGCCACAAGGTATAGGTAGGAACTCTCAGTCTTGGGCAGGTGATGCACTGTATTCTTGGTGCTTGGGGGGGGTGGTCAACAGTGGGAGGGCTTCTAGTGTCCCGGCCCCACTGGTGGACCTCCTGATGGCACCTGGTATTTCTGGCCACTGTGTGACACAGAGTGCTGGACTGGATGGGCCATTGGCCCGATCCAACATTGGCTTCTCTTCTGTTCTTATGACGGACCTCATTTGCTTTTCTTTTAAAAGCACACATGAATTACTGTGAGTGGGGAAATGGGCTCCCCGAAGTCACGATGATGGTCATACCTGATACAGGAGATTCTCTATTCCACGTTTGAGCTGGCTCTCCCTCAAACGTACGATCCCAGTTTGGATACCGAGCGACCGCTGTGCCATGAGACGAGGCCACTGTGGAGGCTGAGAGTTGGCAGAGTGGCAGGATGTAAAGCTTTTAAACAAATGAATCGGCGAGATATCGAGACAGCCTGGCTGAAGATGAAGTTCAATGTTGGGTATTAAATCCCTTTGCCGATTAATTACACGTAAGATTAACTTACTTCGTGGAGAAGGGAGGACGGACTGCGTCGAGTCCTTTCTGTATTGAGAGCAAACGAGATAAGCAGCGTAGGCAATCAATATATAAAATGGACTCCGGCGTCCTAGAGAGAGACCCGTTAAAACTATATAAAACTGTAACGCTTTTAAAAAACAGTTGTCTCTCACCTGGATAGCCCAGGCAAGCCTGATCTCGTCAGATCTTAGAAGCTAAGCAGGGCCGACCCTGGCAAGTACTTGGGTGGGAGACCTCCAGAGAATACCAGGGCTGGGAGGCAGAGGCAGGCAGTCATAAGCCACCTCTCTGAACGTCCTCCATGCCCCGGTAGGAGTCGCCAGAGGTCACCACGACATCCAGGAACTGGCACAAACACACTCACAAACACAATGCAAAAAAAACCACCCCCCAAAACAGTTATCTCTGTCACAAGCTAGCCAGCATGTTATTCCCATAGCACAGGGGTTCCCAAAGTAGGGAGAGCTAGTTTGGTGTACTGATTAAGAGTGTGGACTCTAATCTGGGAGAACCGGGTTTGATTCCCCTCTTCTCCACATGCAGCTGCTGGAGTGACCTTGGGTCAGTCATCAGTTCCCTCTGAGCTGTTCTCTCACGAGCAGTTCTCGAAAGAGCTCTCTCAGCCCCACCTACCTCACAGGGTGTCTGTTGGGGGGAGGGGAAGAGAAAGGAGTTTGTAAGCCACTCTGAGACTCCAAGTGAAGGACGGGGTATAAATCCAATCTCTTCTCCTCCTCCTCTTCTCCTCTTCCTCCTCTTCCCCCTTCTCCTTCTCTTCCTCCTGCTCTTCTACTCCTCCTCCTCTTCCTTTTCTTCGTCTTTTTCTACTCCTTCTCTTCTCCTTCTCCTCCTCCTCCTCCTCTTCCTCCTGCTCTTCTTCTCTTCCTCTTCTTCCTCCTCTTTCTTTTTCTCCTCCTCCTCCTCCTCTCCTTCTTCTGCTTCTCCTCCTCCTCCTCCTCCTTTGAGCCTGCAGGAACCTTTGGAATTATGACACATGGTGTTGGGCACATACACAATATGGCTGCCACAGGAGGCGGAACCAGTTGTAACATGGCTGCTGCAGAAAGCAGAGCCACACACAGAGGGGATGCCAAAGTGCAAGGGTAAAGAGGAGTAATTTTAAAAAACGCTTTGGGGGAAAAAGGAATGTGAGAAACTGAAATCATCACTGAGGCGGCAGTCCACACACAGAGGGGATGCCAAAGTGCAGGGGTAAAGAGGAGTAATTTTAAAAAATGCTTTTGGGGAAAAAGGAATGTAAGAAACTGAAATCATCACTGAGGCGGCAGTTATTTTATTCTGCACAGACAATCAGATCACCAGTGGTCAATCAGATGCTTGGCTGGTTAAGAGCCCTGTGTGGCCTCACCCGCTTCCTAAAAACGTTTGGTGGGCACCAGGAAAGATATCTGTGGACCCCATGGCACCCATAGGTGTCACATTGGGGACCCTTCCTATAGCAGATCAGGGGCGTGGCAGCTTATGGTCTTTTGCCTCCCAAAGCAGGCCCTGAGCATGTGAAATGGTATGGTATAACCCGATCTCATCAGATCTTGGAAGATAAACAGGATTGGTACTTGGTGTAGTGTTTAAGTGTGCAGACTCTAATCTGGAAGAACCGGGTTTGATTCCCCACTCCTCCACTTGCACCTGGCTGGATGACCTTGGGCAAGCTGTAGTTCTGATAAGAGCTGTTCTTGATAAAGAGCCGTTTCTGTCAGAGCTCTCTCAGACCCACCTACCTCACAGGGTGTCTGTTGTGGGGAGGGGAAGGGAAAGGAGTTTGTAAGCCGCTCTGGGACACCTTTGGGTAGTGAAGGGCGGGGTATAAATGCAATCTCTTCTTCTTCTTCTGGATGGGAGACCACCAAGGAAGACTCTGCAGAGGCAGGCCCTGGCAAACCACCTCTGCTTTGCATTTGCCTTCAAAGCCTCTTGCTGGGGTTACTTTAAGTCCTTTGTGTCTTCATGGCACTTATGTACATACGTATCACTGGCTCTGAAACGCAAGACCCTGTGGTCACATGGAAAAATGTCTCATGTAGCTGTCAGGACAGGTAATGCATTTCCTGATTTTTCCCCCCATGTTTTTCCCCCCCACAGGTTTCAGAACCTTCTGTGGTCTCGAAAAGCCTTTGTGGAGAGCGTGAAAGTCTACAACCAGAGCTACATCTACATGCCTGCCTTCTCCATGAAAGGGGGAACGGAGCCGTCGCTCCGGGTTTATTACACCCTAGCAGACATTGGTGCGAAGCAGACGGTGATCTTCGCTAACCCGAATTTTCTACGGGACACTGGAAAGTTCTGGAAGAGCAAAGGGATTCACGCCAAGCGGCTGTCGACGGGCCTCTTCTTGGTCAGTGCGGCCCTGGGTTTGTGTGAAGAAGTAACGATTTACGGCTTCTGGCCTTTTTCGATGGACCTGCATGGAAAATTTATCAGTCATCACTACTACGATAATGTCCTGCCAGATTCGGGATTCCACGCGATGCCAGAGGAATTCTTACAACTTTGGTTTCTTCACAAAAATGGAGTGTTGCGAATGCAGCTGGAACGGTGTGAGGACCCTGTATCTCACTCTGCCGCCTGAGAACCTCAGGGACGTTCTGAGGAAAATGCTTGCTCCACGTTCTAGAAAAAAATATTGCCTGAACAAGGGGGGTGGGGGAATTGACCCCTTGAATGGATCGCATGGACCATTCTGATAATAATTTTTCCATTGACAACTTGAAGAGAAACTGAGGAAGCGGCATCGTTAAAAAAAGCAGTGTTCTGTGAGCTTCTTGGTGAATTTTGTTCCGCAAAATGGTTGGATTGGATATGGCATTGCCAAAGTGTCGGACAAAGGGCATTCAAGGGTTTGGAGAAGCGTGGGTTTTAATAACAGTGCTGAATACTTCATTTTGCTCTGATTTAAGACTGATAACCTGTCCAACTGGGTACACATTTCTTTTGTTGGTTTCTAAAGTTGGATTGTGAGAGATGCCTGGTGTCACCCATTTTGGCTTCCCACCAAGAGTGTTACGAGTGGTCAAACGGTGCCAATTGTCTCTCTTTTTTTAAAAAAACTAATAACAGAGAACTGTTTTCGATAGTGGTATTCTACAGCGGTATGCTTGTAGCACTTAAAACAGGAAAACGTGTTGTTGTTTTTTTAAAGAAAAGGTGAATGTTTTTTTAGCGGGGGGGGGAAAGTATTTTATTTTTTAAGAAGTTGCCCGATTTTTCCACGTGCTGTAGAATGCAGTTGCTGTTCAGTTGTCGAGATTGTGTTTGATCAGAAAATCAACCCAAGTTTGCCCCTGAGATTCAGATCCGGGTGCAGTTCTGAGTTGGTTTTGTGTTATCGATATGTCGTTAAACCGGAATCTGCCTCTATGGCAGGCCCTGGGCGGTTGCCCCCGATTTCCATCGTAACTAAGATGGGTGAGTTTTGTGATGTCTGAAAATGACCTGCTGTGTTTGCCATACGGACCACATTCTACATTCCTTCTCATTCCAGGGGTCTCCAAGAAGCCCCCTTTGTCCACTTGGAGTCAGAGCTGACGTTCATCCTTTGGGAAGGGGCCCTGTGATTTGTATTAAGAGACCTCAAGTTCTCTCTCTGGCTCCTGTAGATAAAAGGATTTTGGGTAGACTCCTGAAGTCTTTCTCAGTCCTCCTGCCCGAAACCGTGCAGAGCCATTTCCAGCCGGAGTAGACAATAGATGGACCCAGGGCTATTTTGGGGCAGGAACACACAGGAACGGAGTTCCGGCCGGCTCCTGAGTTGGCCACACCCAGTAGGAACTTATTAGCATAATAGGCCACACCCAACAGCAGAAACTCATTAGGATTGGCTACAGTAGGCGTGTGTGGCCTAACATGCAAAGGAGTCCCTGCTACAAAAAAAAAAGGCCCTGGGTTTTAACAACAAACAAGGTAAACAGAATAAGAAGCAAAAGGTGGGTGTGGCTGGATGACCACGCTTCTGGCAACACGGGGCTGCGGCCTAATATGTTAATGAGCTGTGGTGTCAGGGTGTGGCATAATATGCTAATGAGTTTCAGCTTTTGGGTGTGGCCTATTATGCTAATGAGTGCCTGCTGGGCTTTTTCTACAAAAAAAGCCCTGGATGGACCAATGAATAATCTGACTCAGGAGGACAGCTTCATACATTCGATAGGGCAGCCAATGGTCCGCCAGTCCCGCCCATGTATGACTTCTGGCAGCTCATCAAGCCATTAGTAATGTAGCAGGGCTAGAAAAGGAACCTCTGCCCGAGCCCCTTGGAGAGCTGTACTAACAACCTTGGATTTAGGGTTGCCAACTCCAGATTGGGAAATCCCTGGAGATTTGGGGGTGGAGCCTGGGGAGAGCACGGTTTGAGGGGGGGGGCTCACCAGAGTGTATTGCCATGGAGACCACCCTCCAAAGCAGCCGTTTTCCGCAGAGCCAGTTTGGTGTAGTGCTTAGGAGCGCAGACTCTAATCTGGGAGAACCGGCTTTGATTCCCTGCTTCTCCGCATGCAGCTGCTGGCGTGACCTTGGGTCAGTCACAAGTTCTCTCAGAGCTGTTCTCTCAAGGGCTCACAGGGTGTCTGTTGTGGTGAGGGGGAGGGAAAGGAGTTTGTAAGCCGCTCTGAGACTCCTTCGGGTAGTGAAGGGCGGGGTATAAACCCAATCTCCTCTTCTTCTTCAGTTCTGGGAGATCTCCAAGCCCCACCTGAAAGCTGGCAACCCTAACCCCTGGGTCAGACGGCCGCTAAAAGACGGCTTCATTTGTGGTACACATCGCTTTTGAATTAACTTTTTTCCAACCCAGGTTGATGTTGCCTGATCTTGAGCCTGTTTTGTAGTCGCTCCTACCGTCTCCGTTCTTAAACAACCAGCATAACATATCCGATCATTTCTTTAAACCACTTGCTGTGAGTGTGCTAAGCCCAAGATTGGGGGATCCCTGATACCCGGAGGTTGCACTGATCACCGGTGGACACAAGCTACTACTTAACATCCCCTGCACCAGGGCTATTTTTGGGCAGGAACGCACAGGAACGGAGTTCCGGCTGGCTCCCAAGTTGGCCACA